CTCTCTCTCTCTCTCTCGATGTGCATATCAAATGATCTTCCCTATACTTTTCATTATAAAAAAAGGCGTTAGCTACTTTCTAAGTCGGCGAATATATTCATAATCGATAGTTTTTCTCAATTTCGACATGTCCAATGTAGTGGGGCGCGAATAATCGCCGCCTCTGCACTGCATTCTGTCCCACCGATGTACGTTGCGAACTGCTGCACACGGTTATTTAATTATAAAAGCGTAGCACGTAAACAATTTGGACCGACAGGGTACTCAACATTAATATTGCCACGTTCTTAGCGGAATATTCTAGGCTACTTAATTATAACGGCGTAATACGGATTTTGGCTGACGAAAGGTGCTGAAGTATTAATGTTGCTATATTCTTAGGGATATATATTTTATTGGTCAAAATGCTTGAACTAGGCATCTGCATTTATATATTTTCGCGGTCTTTGACCTGTTCGTGATCGAATTAATTTTTCGTTTTTAAGTTTTTATCGGTCTAACGTTTTTTCAACAATAGAATGCTAAATCACCGAGTCCTTGTAATTGGGATTATGTTAAAATTTTCTGATTATGAGATTAACGCGCGAAGTCGACCAACTAATACAGGAAAGTACCACACACACACACAGAGAGAAGTTTTTCTTAAAATTTATCCTGAAAATCATGTAATCGTGAGACAACGTGGCATTTCAAAGAATTTTATGGGAGTTTGTTGAAATCTTACCATACGTTCTACTAATAATTATACTTGGTATTTATTTTACTAGTAGAATATATGGTAAAATTTCAAGAAGCTCTCTTACAGTTCTTCAAAATGCCATGTTGTTCCACGATTACATAATTTTCAGGGTAAACTCTAAGACCTAAGAGAAAATTCTCTCCGTGTGTATGAATGAATATTAGAAAACGCTGTAGGAAAAAATAAGAATATCGTCATGAACAGTAACATACACGTGAATTTCGCTAGGGATATGTGACACGCATTCTGGAATAAATGGCATTCTTATCACAAGTGCTTGTGGAGGCCTTTCGCTACTTTCGTATCTGGCCTCGTTCGATTTAGCAATACAAGTTCGTGACTTTCGAAAATTTCGATAAGGAAGGAACTATTGTGGAAGTCCATGGAGGATGCCGCAGTAATCGCGTAAGTTTTCCGGGACTCTATTTCACGGCAGATTGCGGGACTCCTAGAGCTGGAAGGAACGGCGAATAGTCCGGGCCATAAGTCAGCCTCTCCTTCCGCGGATGACGATCCCATCTTCTGGCGAGGCAGTCGTTTCTCATACGCCTCGCCTGCATCGGTGCAATGTCCGATGAAACAGGGGGGGACTGGGAGAGGGGGGGGGGAGGAGAAGAAGGAAGAGAAGGAGGAGGCTGGAAGGTCCAGGACCGCAGTTTGGGTGAAGCTGTTCGACGCGTCACGGCGGCTCTCTTCTAAATTCTCCTGCTTCCAACCCTCAACCGGCTGTGAGGCAACGGACGATCGCGTCATTAAAATATTTACATTGATATCCAAACTGCCCGATACAATTGTCTCAGCTTGCAGATTGAACGGCTTTACGCCCACCATGTACATTTTTCGTCGTCCCTGTTATGCAATTTGCATTGCAACTCAGCTAGCTGTTACAATTTTTATCTCGATGGCGAGCGTAACAATGGAAAAATGTAAAATGAAAAGTGAAAGAATAAAAAGACTTTTATTTATCACCCCCTTCTCTCCGACCCTTTCTCCACCCCCCCCCCTCTCTCTCTCTCTCTCTCCTCTCTCTGTCTCTCTCTGTCTGTCTCGTTCTCTTTTTTGTGCGGGTTTGTTTTAATCAGATCTTAATTGCAAAATTGCATAATATATATATACAAATTATGCAAGAGAATTATATGCTTTATACACTTTTAATATTCTCTTTGTCCTTTTAAAATCTTAAACTAACCCACGTTTTTTAAATTTAGAATTCAAATTATACAACATTCTTATGAAATCAAGAATTCTTTGACGCCAGTACATGACTAACAATAATTAAGCTTGTAATCGGCCATAGCTGGCAACGTGTTATTTTAACATATTGCGAAAAGTACTTTTCGCAATAAATTGTCTGTGTTAAAAACACGTTGCCAGTTATAGTCGATTACAAGCTTAATCATTCTTATGAAATGTACTGATTTTATAACTTATAATAAAATTTAGTAAACATAATTTACCATACATTTCTGTACAAATATGCAAAGCCAGTTTATCAAAACAATTTGTATTACAAAATACAAAATTTTATATTCTACATAAATTATTGCTTCGCGAAAGACTGGCTTTGTATATTTGTATGTTTTCTTCTACTCTATTCCTACCTTCTCCCAAAACCTTTGTGATGCGAAGTGAAATGCGATACTAACAGAATGTCGTTTTGGTTTTTGAGTAAGTGCCTGCTCAATAATTGTCAAAATTTATCTTTAGTTTCATGATTTTTTGACGCTATCGTTTAGTCTTCTATCGTTGCTTTCAATCGCGCGCTCGCGCTGCGATTTAAACTTAACGTAATTGAAAAACCAGAATTTTATTAAATTTAGATTTATATACATAAATCAGTTTTAATGCAGTCCCCCAATGCATTCATACGTTCCCACGTCTATCAAGTATAACTGAAACAAAGCCATATGTAAATCCATGCAAAATACGATGCAACAAAATATATTTGCATTAATTGACCGCCATGAACTTTTATTTAGAACCAATCGCTGCTTAACGACGATTACATAAGCCGGGACAGGCGTCATAATCAGAAGACTTTTTAAGTTTATCCGCTGCGTTGCTCCCGTGTGTGACCTTAGAAAATGACCAGCCTTTGAACTTATATCTATTGAACGATACGCGCGACGCACGGTTCCATTTTTTTCACGTAACATCCAGTGACCTTTAGATGGGTGTTGCGAACGTGCATGAGAAAACGCACCCGGGGAACCGAGTGCCATTAAAATCTACTTCTTCCCTAACCGGAATGCGCCCGATCGTCGCACAGAGACGTGGAGCCGATCGCCGAGGATTCATTTAGGCGGCTACGTACCAATTACGGTTTCCATTTTCCGGCGCGGTGCGATGCATTCGGTTCGGACCCCGGAGACAGAGCGAGAGGCTGTGCGGACTCGTGAGGAACCGGGATCCGGGACCACAATAACGATCGTACCCGGCCGGACGTCCCGGTCTACCCGGGGACAACGAGACACGGGCAAACTGCACACACACCTCCGATCGAGCCGCGGTATAGACTTGACACGGGTCGCGAAAGGGAGGCTGCGAAACTGCGAGATGAAAGCGGAGCGCAACCCCCGGTGCGCGCGCGCAGCATCCCCGGAAGCAGCCCGGCTAGATCGAGGGGTAGCCCTCGGGACCGCTTACTCGCGACTCCTCGAGTCAGCGCCGAGATACCCGTATCCGCGTCCCTGTTTCCTTGGCCCTTACATTTTAAGTGTCCCGCGAAAAGTCTAATTGTAAGATGAACAAAATCTTCGCCAAATAAAACGCCTGAAACTTACCGTCACTATTTTTTAAGTGGAATTCAATCTTTAACTTTCCTCAAAATCAATCTATAGATTTATTATTAATACTTAAAATTACAGTAATTATTTGAATTAAAGTGTTTTGCGTCTAGTGATTATTAAATTATTATTAATGTTATTCAAAATGAACTTCTAATGCTGTGACACGTTGTTCGATTTTTAATCGAATACAGGCGAATATATTTTTGTAAAGAATATGTATTTCCTGAGAGAAAATAACTGACAAGTACTTCACAATATTTTATATCTATAAATGTCTAATACATTTATTTATATCGTTTCTTTATTGACTGCAATATAAAAACATTTTTTTAAGAATACGAATATAAATGAATGGATTATACACAAAATATTTTATTAGAAATGTATTATTTAAATTTATCTTTTTTCACGAGTATCTTGAAGAAAGTACATACCCTATTAGATATTTTTACAGTTACGAAAAATAAAAGGAGTTTTTTGTACTCATCGAGGAGAAGATCAACTCTGTCTTCGTGACAATTCGCGAACGAGAGGAAGTCGACGACGTTCTAAAAAAACATCCTGTGTCGACGTCAATCGTACAATTAGTAAAATAGAGCTCTCCTTTTGAGCCGGCGCGATAATTCGTGCAGGTCCGAAATCGTATTCGCGCAGAATCTTAATTCTTTATTTTAAATTGTATGAGAGGACGAAGCCTAATTGATCTCGGTTTGCTTACGGTCTTAAACTCTCTCTCTCGATGAAAACTTTTCTTACAATTTTTCAACTTCTTTATAAATTTTCTAACTTTTTAGAAAATTTCCGACATACAAATCGAAACGGTTCAGAAATATTGAAAAAGTCCTTTCTACAATTCTTTATACATATGTGTTTAATTCTGAAATATTCTAAGATTTCTCATTCTATATTTTCAAAAGAAAATCTCAAAGAAAGATACATTTTTTACATTATTATAAATGTAAAATATCAAAAATTCTCAAAATAGTGCGAGAAGTTTTTTATCAGGTATTTATAACTTCAATCTCTGTACAAGTTCTTAAATACTCACGAATCTAATTTTCTTCGATCGTTGTGGGAGAAGGTTCTCTCAACCATATGGAATGAGTACCGGGATCAAACTCGAGACCTTTGCATTTCTTAAAAGAGAAAATACAGAATACAATCAGAAGTAGGAATAGGCTTATTTGTCATATTTATATACAGTTTTTTTAATCATGTTAATATATGGAGCCGTGTGTAAAGATACGTCCTGTAAGATCTATAATTGTAAGGTGGGACTCTAAAAGATAATAAAATATATGAGGATATTCCAAACAAAATGTTGCATGTAGCATAATATTAAAGGAAAGTTCCCCATTATGAGATAAGCTCTTAATATGAGATAGCAGGGTTTTTGCTAAATTAATAGGCACCGTCTGTTGGTTTTATCGTTAATTTATTGCGCTTGGAATGAAATCTGTTTAGTGGGAAATTTATTGTTAGATCGTGTAATCGTTGTGAATAAAGATTTGTGATTAAATTTCGATGTTGAAAACCTGCTATCTCGTATTGGAAGCCTGTCTCATAACAGGAGACTTTCCTCCAATAGTAAAAGCGTCTTCCGTTATAGAAAAATATTAAAATTAAAGTAAACAAGGGTACAACATGAAATATCCTTTGTAATGATTCTAAAGTTACTTCTAAAGATTCTAAAGGTATCAGCTTCGGTATTAAATTATCAATTTAATTATGCAATTATGTTATTTAAACCAGTTTTCTTAAAACTGCGTTTGAAAACTGATCGTAATCTGCTGGATTGAAAAATATATATACTTTCATGCAACAATATTAAGCACAAAGATCCAGCTCGACCCGATATAAAGCTTTATTTCTTCATTCGATTATCCACAAGTACACAGTCATATTATTTATTTAAAAAAAATTAGAATCTACCAACCATGAAATAGCCGCGCTTCCCCGCGCGTAAAAACCATATCAGACTACAGATTGAGATTGAGATTAGATTGAAATTTGACCAATCGGAATAAAGTTTACCAATCTTAAGTTTAGTGAATTTTACTCTGATTGGTCAAACTTCAATCTAATCTCAATCTCAACCCAAAGTCTGGAGCTCGACCAGGAATCTTTTTCTCCAATATAAACTCGTGAAAAGTGAGAAAATTTCATTGGCGAGTCTAATATTTATCAACGAAATTTTTCACTTCTCGCGCTAGAGAAAATAAATTCACGATTGAACCCCTGTGTAAAGCCTCGCGCCCGCGATGCTCGGAACTTGGTCCAAGTTCCAGTTCCGAGGAATGTGTAGCCAATCACCTTGCAACTTTTATGGAATAGCTGCACATTGATTGGCTACATATTTCTCGAAACTGTAGAACTTGGACCGAGTTCTAGGCATAGACGTATAATATATAGACTACGCGTTTGCAGTTGTACAAACTTTAGAGAGACAACATGCTCTGTAGCGGTCGCCCTCTCTTTGTCGCTCTCCACCATTCCCCTTACTCTTTTGCTGCCCCCGCTGTTTATTAGACAAAGATGAGACGACTACTCTGCCAGCTATCTCGTTCTAAAGTTTGTACATGTCCTCGACGCGGGAGAGGTAGGGAACGCGCGGGTTCTGTTCTTGCTATGCCTATGGTTCTAGGCATCGTGGACACGGGCCTGCCGCGGGCTTAAATCTGCGACTCGATGAAACGGGACTGCCGGCGACACCTGTCGGCGCGCCTCTCGAGGCCGCGAGCGAAACCCGCGCGCCACCGGACTCGAGCGGCGGCGGAGGTTCCGCTCCGTACGACACGGGGGAGATTGCAGGATGGCACGCGGATAGTTCGGGGGGACCTTTTTACATTTATTTACATTTCTCGCGAACGCGCGCTCTCGCGAGGCAATTGCGATGGCGTCGACTTACATCAAGGACGAGACGGGTAAGGTCGCCGATCGCCCCGCCGCGCCGCGGGACGGCGTGCCCGCGGCGCCCAGCGGTACGCGCCGGCTCTAACCTCGGCCCGTTGTAAACAACCATCGGTTTCGGTATAATAATAGATCGTTCCCGTTTTCCGCGGCGCTATAGTTAGACCGGTGTACCGCGGCAGGTTTTCACGTGTCCTGAACGCCGGGGCTGATCGCCGTGACGGAATTCTCGCGCTTGCGCCAACTTGCGATGCATTGTTCTTTTTAAGTTTAACACGGCACCCGAAGTATTCCTGAGAGTATAAATGCCGTCGCCAACATTTTGCGGAGGCATGACTGAGGACGTTGCGACTGAAGCGTGCGTGTTTTCAGGTACGTTTATACCGGCGAGCCAACGACCCGATGGCACATGGCGCAAGCAACGGCGCGTGAAAGACGGATATATTCCTCAGGAAGAAGTCCCATTGTGAGTAATCGTCAATGTTCTTCGATATCTTGATGTTATAAGTCGTCTATAATATGTGTAGTAAGCCTGGGGTGAGGAGTAGAAGTAAGGAGATTAATCAATTTTATTTCTTACTCCTACTTCAGCCCATACGCTTACTCTCGGCGAATCGGAACGCCATCGGCCAGTGTTAAATATATTTAAAAAGTATGCCTGTATTTTAGCTTCCTTACATGAAAAGCTAAAGATTATGCTTCTCTCTTACTCCTTACGCCAGGCTTACTCCACACATTATAGACGACGCATTACTCGACAACTGTTTCGCATTTTCTATTGCCGTGTTATTCCCTCTGCAGGTACGAAAGCAAAGGGAAGCAATTGATAAAGAAGCCCTTATATCCTGTGGGTGCCAGCCCAGAATTTATAGCCGAACATAAAGCCAAGCTAGAGGCTCTGGCGGCGAAGAACAAAGTGATACCCGGCACGCAAGCGAAAACTCAGGAGGGATCCAAGAAGAAGAAGAAGAAGAGCAAGTCCAAGGTCGCGGAACCCGCCGCCGAAGGATTGTCCAAAATTACGATCTCAGAGCCCGACTTTCATAGAGAAGTCCCGGTTCACACCGACAAGCCGCTGTCCACCGCGAAACAAACCACGACAAACAACGTAGCTAAGAACAATTCAAACGCCGCGCTAAAAGCGACGGCCGATCCGCAGAAGAGATTGAAAAACCTACGCAAGAAAATTAGGGAAATCGAAGTGTTAGAGGATAAAATCAAAACTGGTGCTCTGAAAAACCCCGATAAGGAGATACTCGACAAAGTCGCGCGGAAAACTGAGATCTCCAAGGAGGTGAAAAGATTAGAGGCTGCTTTATAGATCCATATCCAATTCACACTTTCACAAATTGAATTTGTTGGTGCCATCGGGAAATGGCGCGATCGTAAAACCTGATTGATAACGATCCTATTATATATAACGAGACAAATCTTTGTTCCTTTCGATTCCATTCGACAAAGACACATCGCAGTTTTAATATTGTATCTTACATATTAGTCTTTTCTTTTTTTTACTCACAGTGTGTAGATTGATAATATTGATATATACATTTATATATATCGCGATGATATTGACTGTCAACGATTCTGACACTTGAGCAAAAACTTACATCTACATCTATACATGTACATATACAAGAGAACTTACGTGAAAGTTTAAATAAAGACGAACGGAGTTTTCGTTCATTAAATGAATTATCCTTTGCACGTCATGATTCAAGCCGGTTAAAAAGAGTAAGATAACCAGTTTTAGATGAATTTATATTAGGTGGTCACGATGATCTAAGAAATACATGTAGACATCTGTGAGTGTTTTAATGAGAATTATTAATGCATTTAATGTGATAAGATAAACTCTATCGATTTATAATATTTATAGCGAATAAACCTGAAATTATATATAAAAGTAAAAAACATTGTCGCGCTTTTGTGAGAAGAATAAATGTTCTGAAAATATTATCGCATAAGTTTCTGTTAATAGTAATTTTACTATATCAATAAAGTATTGTATCATAATTGTAAATTCTTTTATGTAATTAATTTTTCTATAGGAAACATTTGTGGATGCCGGTTTAAAGGCATTCTCTAGTATTATTCAGAACACTTTATATAATCACACTTGATTATTTTTTCATAATAATTAACCACTAAGTATGAATATAAATTTTGGGTATTGAATAAAGTATTGTAAACAGTTTGCAGTACTTTGCACCATGGACAATTGTATTTTCATCGGTACTTTGAAAAAAATTCTGATAGCTATAGCTTAGGCCAACAAAAAGGAGATGTCAACGGCAAGTAATCGCCCATCTAACAATAAGTACTTACTAACCATTTGTTTTCGAAGGATTGCTAGCAAATTCAATTGGTGAAGCAAAGTATTACAAACTACTGCTTTACATCTATCGATCAGTTATTGAATAAAACGTTTGGTACCATCTTGCTAATCATATACAATTGTATATATAATTCTCTTTTTTTTCGCAAATATCCGAGTTGTACTTTACAATACTGATAAAAATTGCATTTAAATGCTGTTGTTTTGAGGTTTAAAAGAAGGAGGGGGATTTTTGTTGCCAACGATCAAACCCTCTTGAAGACATCAGTTCCCGTCCGAACACGTTGGGCAAAAAATTAATTTTAATTTCTGTAGTTTAGACCAGCAGAAAAAGAGGTGTCAACGGTACATGGTATTCCCAAGCGGTCACCCATCCTAGAACTAACTATGCCCAACGCTGCTTCAGTGATCGGACGAGAGCTGGTACTTTAAACGTTTTTTTTTAAGTTGCTTATTACAAAAAACCAATACAAACAATCGGATTACAGACAATATAATAAACGGTACCCTAGCGGAAAAAATTTCTATAAATAACTACAAAAAATTGACTTGAGATAGAAAGTAGAAATTTTTATATCTTCGTTGAAACATTTATTTCTTTGTAAAAATATCTATAAAATAGTATCACAAATTACAATGTTCTCAAATCAAGAAATTATTGCAAGTAGTATTTCATGAAAATGTATAATTTTCTAAAAATTAGTACAGAACTTTACTAGAATATTACAAAAATTAACAAAAGTGTTCCAGCATTTAGTTAATTCTAGCATTTTTATAACACTTTAAATTTACGTAGAATTTCTTAGATTCTGGCAGTTATATTTAATTTTTTTGTAGAATTTTGTAGAATTATTTCCGGCAGGGTATTTGCAAGATAATGAAAAATAATATTGCATTCGGCGGCCCCTAAGGCACTCGCAAGACGGATATTCTATTTTCTAAAAAAAAATTTAACCTTGTTCATAGCAGCAGAGAGAGACCAGAGCTGCTTTCGCGAGAAGATGAAAATGATCCGGTTAAAATGACCCTGTGCTATGATTGGTCAAATCTGGAATTTCATTGAATAAAATTTCAATGTGATGCTACGAAATTTCAGATTTGACCAATCATAGCACAGGGTCATTTTAATCCGGATCATTTTCATCTTCTCGCGTAAAGCAGCCCTGAGAGCGGCCACGCCGGCGTTTTACTCGATACCAAAATTGGGCACTGCATTACCCGCTTGTACAATGGGCGTAGCACGGACACGCACCAAGTGGAGACTTTATCGGCAGTGCTTGAAAATGGGTGTAGCGTAATAGTTCCAAGAATGAAAATGGGCGTAGGGCGCTGGAATCAGCCGGGGCGAAAACGGTATCAAGACCAGAGAGAAGCCTGAGAGATGTCACGGCCCCGTTTTTCGTGATACGCGAATGCGATACGCCCTCTGTGGACATTGAAAACGTGGACATTGAACTACGTAGCCAATTTGCACATTTTGCTAAGTGGGCAACGCAGATTTGCGAAATTTTGGTTGCGTTTCGTGCTATAATCAGGTCCTGTGCGATGCTC